CGCCCGATTGTTACGATAGCCCGATGTCGACTTTTTGCGATACATTTTTACGATTATGCGTTTCGTTTGAGTTCGACCTACTCAAATTTATGTTATCGGTTTCGACTCTCACGAGCAACTAATTCTGACTTGTTCGCGCGGGATTCTTAATGTTTGCATGCATTCCCGCGAACGCACTTCCCTTAGCTTTAAGCGCGTTTTTATTACTTGTTCAGTATGAGAAGAGAACTCTATGTTTTCTTTCCATACTGGCTCGTTGTGTGTTGTCCAGTGTTTTAAAACCTTTTAAAGTTGGCTTTGCACTATTTTACATAATTTCGACGATCTAGGGGAAAACCCTAGATCTCTGAAAATGATTCTAAAGGTGTGTTATTCTTCGCGCTACTTAGGGTGCATTCCGATATTTACTGCCAGTACTGGCAGCGTCACAAGTACCGTTTCAAAATACATAGCAGTAAGCTGTCGAAGCACGTTTGCGAGCATATGACGTCACGGATTTTGTCGTCACTTCCTGCTTTTATCACTGCGGTTAGAGAGGTAAGGCAGTCGCAGTAGAAAGATGGCGGCGTCCATTCTTACGTGTTCACTGATTGATTTTTGGTTATGTTTGTACACTTCAAAAGATACTATAAAATCGTTCCGTTATAGGATGGAAGAAACAGTACAAGTAATTGCGGAACATAGAAACAGCATTGTTTTATGACGTCACATTGTCAGTACTGGCAGTGAATATCGGAATGCACCCTTAATGTACGCGTTCCTATTTAGTTTTACCGTTGTCGCAAACATCGGTAGATGGAACATTGACGTCACTGGTTGTTCGGCTGTTCGTGCATGTTTGTATGTATGTTTTTATGTTGTTGTGTGTTCGTGTGTGTGTATGTAGGCCATTCGCCTAACTCACAGACTTCTATATACTACACTAGACCGCTAGCTCGCGTGATCTCAGCGTAAATAATGGCTGCAAAATCTATGTACAATAGGGGTACTGTGGAATGCGGGTTTCATTGGTTGATTTTGACGATAAGGAGAGTTCATCCAATCATTGCCTATATACTTATGTACGTGCGCGACAATGCATGCGCAGATAGCAATTCAGCAGTTCAGCATAATGAAGATTATATGGCGGTTGAAAGCACACATGACGGCATAAAGCACACATTAAAAGAAACGAAAACCAATATGCCAAAATATTGTTGTGTTTTTGGCTGCCAAAATAAGGCAAACAAAGAAAAAAACCTTACAACTCAATCAGCTGTCAAACATAACGGCCATCTTGCATTCTTCAGTACCCCCATCTTCCTCTACCATGACGATTTAAGTACATAGATTTTGTAGCCAGCTGTACATAAAAAGCTAGCGGTCTAGTATACTATAGAAGTCTGTGGCCTAACTCTAGGAGCGTTATCTTCCCGTTAAGGCTAACTTACAAAAAGTTATTAGATCGCTAAAAGTTTTGGAAAATTAAAATTTACGATGCCACGCAGGGCTCTATCCAAATACTTAGCGATTAAGATAAAAAAAAAACAAAAAATAAAATTTTTTTATTGTACTGTGCTTTTTGCACAAGTCATCACAGCCTGGGTACTTCGCATCCCAGTGACCACAAAATTGATAATAAAGTGCTAAATATGTTGAAAATAACATAAAATAAAATATCAAGTGTTTAACAAATCGCGCCTTACAAAAAATAACTAGACTATGTCTATTGGCGCTGTGATAGGTTCGTCGGTGGTTCCTTATTCGTTGTCCCCGACGTCTTCTTAGGTCGTTCTAGGGCCGTCCAATGACTCGCGTCCCTGCTTCCTTGGTTTCATCTCGGTTTTCTCGTTCTCCGAACTCGCTGTTGGCTCCTCCGGGCTGGTGTCTCGCTTCCTTAAAGTCAGCGGTGACAAGGTTGGCTCTCAAAGAACCACCGGGTTCATAAGCCATCTCCACCTCCACGTGGTGAGAGCTGGTAACACCGGAGTACCTCTCCGGTGGCCATCGGGGCTCTGATTTCGGGCAGGAGTGTCCGAATCGTTCGTTGGGCACTTCTGGGCTTCGGATGGGAGACCCGACTTTTGCTACGGACACAAAGGTCACGGTTCGAAGACCGTCGGGAGAACGGCGGCTAGTAGACCGGGGGTAGAGATACTCTAAAGCCGGAGTGCGGCCGAGCGGGAGTCGTTCTCTCTCCTTGAAGGGGCCACGCGGGGCGAGACTAGCTTGCCCACCTAGGAGTGGCGGGATCATCCTGGAAAAGCTGGCTGGAGGAAAGGGGATCTGTCAGTGAGGAGCTCCGGGATCCCTGAGTCTGAAGGACCAGCTACGCCCCATCGGGGAGGGGGCAAGGGCGGAGTGACCTTCTGGGCAAAGAACGGGCAGAGCCCCTTGGGACGGTTCATCTACCCCTCTAGATAGCTTTGCCTCTACAATGAGAGGCCCGGATAGGAGTGCAAGGATACCGTCTACCTGCACTAGGGCGTGTTACCCGAGGGATACCGTCCCCTGAGGAAAGAGACGCTATCGAGCCAATGCATCCGTGCATATCGGTGTGCGCATGCGGAAGGACCGACATCTCCATACGGCGATCATGTTAGGACGGGCAGGCGGGGAATGCATGGCGGATGAACTCCGAATCCGCTGGCATGATCCGAAGTTCGAATGTCTATGCATGTCTGTCGTTTCCTTCGTATAAAAACTCGGAGACAGGGACACGGATAGGGGCGGTGGATAAGCGCGGGTTCTTACTCGTCGGAAGCTCTGATGCCGCACACCGGCCAACAGGGACTTGCCTTCCCCTAGTGAAAAACTGGAAGGCATAGAACGGGTAGGTGGCGATGGATCGACATCGCCCTCATTCATGGGGTCCCGGTGTCACACATCGGCCAGCAGGGGTCTGCTTTCCCCCTAGCTAAAAACTCGGAAGCAAGGACACGGGCAGGGGGAGATGGTTGCAGGAAGCTTAGACGCCGGGTTTGCCACCAGAACATGCGGGCAAGTCCGGATGCCACACATCTCCCAACAGGGGTCGACTTCCCTTTCCCTGAAAAACTCGAAGGTCGCGGTTGGGTTGGGCACAGGGGTCGACCTCCCCCATGCTAAAAGAAATAGGAAGCCCTGGAGGGGACGGATAGGTCGCGACGCGATTAGAACTTAAGAGGGATATAGACTTAAACGCGAAAGACGGGGGGACGTTGTTGCGGGATCCTACCAGTTCTCAGAGGGCCTTTCAGCAGCGTTTCCTCAGTAAACAGAGGTCCGCCTTCCCCCTCGTATAAAAACTCGAAGGCGGGGATACGGGTAGGGGAGGTGGATAGATGTGGATATCCCGTAACATGGGACTCCAACGTCATACACCGGCCAACAAGGGTGCGCACTTCCCCTAGTCTAAAACTCGGAGATGCGATACGGGTAGGGAAGAGTGAATAGGCACTTGTTTTCCTACCCGAACGGGGAGAACACGATGCCACACATTTTCCAACAGGAGTCTGCTTCTCCCTGTATAAAAACTCGGAAGAAGGGACACGGGTAGAGGTCACGAGAACCGGAAAGACTGGTCTGGAAGAGTATTGTGACTACGACAGGGATCCGTCTCACCCTGTATAAACAATCGGAGATCGGTTCGCGGCCGGAGACATCTTGCAGCATGGCGAAATGTTTCCGAACTTCTAGCGTGGCTTGACCGGTGGTTTGGGCTTGCTTACTTCTGTGTTGTTGCCGGTCTCCGGTTGCGCTGATGGTTTGGTGGAGCCACCGGAGGCGCCCGAGATCGCTGGCCCTCCATCTCTTACCTCGCCGGGCGGTGGAGGTTTCGCCGTGTGCCAGGAACACAGCGCAGGAGGCGCACGGTAGTGTCGGGGGCACACGTCAGGTGACGCACGGGACATGAGCGGTCTGGCCATCAATACAGGCGTCCGCTGAATGAGAGCACTGCATCGCTTCTCTATAAACTACCGTGATGCAGCACGCGTGAGCCTACCATATCTCTGGAAACGTGTTCCGGAAATTGAGGTAGTGTATGTTAACCTTTACGCTGCCGGGATTTGAAGAGCATTATGTCCCTTAGAACATTTCCAAATTTTGTGGTTGTATTTTTTATATAACTTATATAAAGTTGCGATCATAGGGAGGGTCTATATATAGACCCTCCGGCAGCGTATTGGACCGGAGAAAATTAAAAAATTTTACTTTGTATAAAAATCCGTTTTTTTAGGTTTTTGAGGTCACTAAAAACAATAGTGAAGTTAGTTTTTGAGTACAGTAAATTTTTAGGGCTGTATGACTCTCGTTCAGCGTTACCCCGCCAATGGCAGGGACGTAGATAGATATTGTGGCTCTAATCTTTTTTTTTTATTTTTTTGTTCTTGTTTAGTTTAGTTTTGTTTTTCTCATGTTTTTTGTTGTTTATTTTTTAATTTATTTTTAAATTTTTAATATTTTTTGCATTTTTTTTTTTTTTTTAATTACTTTTGAGAAATCGAAACTAAACATAGGATTATAATGTGTACCGAGTATTTAGTCAATTGTAAAATACTGAGCATGTAACATTTAGAGGCAGAATATGTATGCGCGCGCGCGCGCGCGTATGTATGTGTGTGTGTGGAAGAGGGAGTGTACGTGTGTACATATACTATATATAAGTACTAATACATATTTATATATACTTCTTGTAAAAGTTTATGCATGTTTTGATAGGCTGCTCAACAGCGTCTATATATAGACGCTCCGGCACCGTAAAAGATAAAGTCTCCTCTCGGCGTAGGAAAATAGGGGGAGACATCGGGATGGAGGCCTTTCTCTATAGACGAAGATGAGCTCTGTATCACTTTTTGGCCTCCCGGGTTCGCAAAGTGGCCAATTCTTTGGCCCGACTACTCTCGAACCTTGGGGAACCGAAGCAGAAGGCCCGTCGTCTCTATGTTAACGTGGTCCACGCGGTAGCCCTGTATGGGGCACCGCTCTAAGCAGGGGCAGAAGCGCGAAGCAAGTTTGTCCAGCTTCGCGCCGCGCAGAGAATGGTTGCTCTGCGCGTTATCTGCGGCTTCCGAGACGTGGCCACGGAGACGGCGGGTGTACTGGCGGGGGTACCTCCTCTGGCCCTCCTGGCAAAAATGTACGTGACGAGGTACGCTCGTCGCGTCAAACTGCTACAAGAGGGTCTGCCAGAGAACAACCTGCGAGAGGCCCTTGCCAACTCGGAGCGTCAGGCCCGACAACAGCTGCTCCTAGACTGGGAGCAGCACTTGAACGAGCCTCGTGCGGCGGTCCAAGAAGTTGTCGCGGTGATTCGACCCCATTTGGAGGTGTGGTTACAGAACGGGGTCGGACATCTTACCTACAGGGTGACACAGGTGCTCACCAGGCATGGTTGCTTTGGTGAGTACCTGTGTCGCATAGACAAAGAGCCAACGGCACAGTGCCATAAGTGTGGGGCAGCCAGCGACTCGGTGGAGCACACCGTGGAGGAATGTCCACGGTGGGCAGACGACCGCCGAAAGCTGGTTGCTAAGGTCGGAGGCGATCTCTCCCTGAAGGGCCTTTTCAAGCCCCTTGCCTCCGGGGAAGAAGAAAAATGGAGAGCGGTAGTCTCTTTCTGTTCCGTTGTGATGGAGCAGAAAGAGGCTGCCGAGAGAGAGCGGGAGTGTGCTCCCATTCCTCGTTAGGGACCTCCGGGGCGTGCGCGAGCGGGTTGTCGGGCGGCACCCGTTCCCCGTGCACGTCCTCGGGGTCCAGGTCCAGGTCCTCCACTGCCAAGGTAGCAGTAATTCCCCCTCTCCGCCCATGTTGGGAGGAGAAGGAGACTGTGGCGGTGGGCGTTGGCGGGAGCTGGCTCCCATCGTTAACCCACCGTCCCAGCGGGACCTTCCTCGGATGCGAGTAGGTCGCACACGGTGACCTCAACTTCCGGGGTGGTACCGTCCACCCTGATGAATCGTTTCTTTCTTCCCTTTCTTTTCGTCACCGTGACAGGTCAAGATGGGAGTCTTGACCTGTCCTGCACACGGTCTTGGAAAGGATGGCATCGCGGTGTGTGTCCCGCGCTGTCACCATTACCGCGAGCAGTCAAATGGGGGAGGGAATTCCTTCCTTCCCTTGAGAAGTCCTAAGCCCGAGGGAGGGACCTGCGCGCATCCTCTGACAGGAATTCCCGGGTCCCTCTCCGCCAAGGGCCGAGTGGTGACACACCGTGGTGGTTTTAATGGGTATACCCCTTCTTCTTGCGGGAAGAAGGGGGGAGTTCCACATAACCCTGATCCTCTCCTCCGGGGATTAAGGTATCCGTAATGGATTTCCACCACGTTAAAAAAAAAGATTTGATTAGGTTCCGAGGTAGGAACGGACTGCGGTGTCGGCCGCATCGAGAGACTGGGCTTCAAAGTGGCCGTCCATAAAACGGAGCGATGTGGTTTAGCAACTACCATCGTGGGCGGCTCCCGGAACTCAGTCTCTCGGTGAGTGAGGCACGAGTCGAGATGGGTAGGACCATAAAATACCTTGGTCTTCACCTCGACCCGAAATGGCGCTTCGAGAAACATTTCGCTCGCTTGGCCTCCAGACTTCGGAAGGTGGCTAACGCGTTAACGCGTATCCAACCAAACCGTAGGGGCCCGAGGTTTAAAGTCCGCCGTCTGTATGCAAATGTTGTGCACTCGGTAGCCCTTTATGGGGCATCGTTGTGGGCGGAGGCCGCTGCGAGGGCTGGGGTGCGGAGCGATTTCGGTTTGCTCTGCAAATCCCAAAGGGTAGTAGCCCTCCGCGTTATATGCGGCTTCCGCACAGTAGCAGCAGAGACGGCGGGCGTGTTGGCAAGGATGCTTCTTTTGGCCCTCCTTGCTGGCATGTACTCGGTGAGATACTCTCGCCGAGTCAAACTCCAACAGGAGGGTCTTGCAGAGGATGCTCTACGGGAGGCCCTCGCCGGGTTGGAGCGCCAAGCCTGGAGACAACTGCTCCTGAATTGGAAGCAGCTCTTGAGCAAACTTAACGCGGACGCTCAAGAGGTCGTCTGGGTTGTCCGGCCCTACTTAGAAGTGTGGTTGGACAATGGGGTCGGACGCTTCACTTACCGCGTGACGCAGGTGCTTACCGGGCACGGCTGCTTCGGTGAGTACTTGTGTCGCATATCGCGCGAGCTGACAACGCAGTGCCACGAGTGTGGGGCGGCCAGTGACTCGGTGGACCACACCGTGGAGGAGTGTCCACGGTGGGCTCCAGAACGCCGAGAACTGGTCGCTCAAATAGGTGAAGATCTTTCCTTAGGGCCTAGTAAAGTCCCTATGTTCCAGGGAGACGGACGTGTGGGAAGCCGTGGTCTCCTTCTGCTGCGCAGTGATGGAGCAGAAGGAGGCCGCGGAGAAAGAAAGGGAAAGATTTCCTTTCCCTCTCGGGAGGCCTTGAGGGCGTGCGCGAGCGGGTGGGGAGCCACCCGTTCTCCGCATCCGCCCTCGGGGACGAGAAAATGCATAACAGCAGCATTGCCCTACCCTTCCTCTGGGGGGAGGAGAGGGTAGCTCGGGGTGATGGGCGTTGGGAGGAGCCGGTTCCTCTCGTTAGCCCATCACCCCTATGGAGATGCGTTGATGGCAGCAACGCTGCGGCCGATTTGAGCGACGGCTATTAGTCCCCAGAGTGGCACCGTCCACTCTGGGAGGAGGGTGGTTTAAGCTGCCGCTGAACCGCACAAGTCGGAATGGGAGCTCCGGTTTGCTCTGGACGTGGTCCGTGTGGGGGTGGCACTGTGGAGTGTGTCCCGCAGTGTCACCAATCAGGGTAGTAGACCGCTTTTAAGTGTAAGAAAGAGGCTAAGTCTCTCTCTCAGGATTATTTGGCTCTAGGGAGGGACTCGCGTGCATGCTGGTAAAGCGATCCCGGGTCTCTCCCTATTATGAGCAGAGTGGACACACCGTGGGAGTTTTAGTAAGTAACTCTCCCCTCCGCCTGAGGGCGGGAGGAGGGAGTCCCACATAACCCCAACCCTTCCCCCTGGAGGTCGGAGTATCCATAAAAGATTTCTCCCACGCAAAAAACAAAAAAAGGTTTGGTTAGGTTAGGTTAGGTGTTTGTTGAAAGGTGGGGCTTCGGTTTCCTCTGGTTCCGGGGAATCTGGTCTTTCTGATTCTAAGGAGCCGACCCCGGCTCCGGCAATGTCATCGCCGGTGCCCAGGGCGGCACCCGCCCGGTCAAAGAAGGCCTAGGCGGGACTGGCCTTGGCTGCCCTTTTAGGGCACACAGGACCCAAAAAAACGAAGCCCGGTCTCCGTTGCTCCTGGTTAGGGCTTGGTTCGGCGATGACTGGGCGGTGTGTGGGGAGAGGGCCTCCCTCGTGTCTGAGGGAGGTCAACATTATCAAGTAAGAGGACAAGTCCGCTTCGGCGTTTGACTTGAGGCCGAGAGGGGATTTAACTCCTTCATTGCATTCGGCCCGCAGGCGACGGAAGAGGGGTTACGGATTCCTCCTTTTGTCGTGGAGGAACTAGTTTCTCTTTCCAAGGAGTGGGGCCTAGTTAAGGGCCCCAGCCTACCGGTGCACCCCGTGGTCATGCCAGCAAAGTAGTACCGGGATGCACCTCAATGGGCAGAAGACGGCCGTCTCACAGGTTTTGGTGGGTATACTCCGCCAGAGTGAGCTCTGGTGGGGGGAGTCCCACACTACCCCATCCAACCACGGTGGGGTGGGGTGTGTGTAATGTCTTTCCTTTGGGTTAAAAAAAAAAGAAGGTTAGATTAGGTGTTGTCCCTGGAGGCTCTAATGAAGGCGTTGGCCTCCAGGGACAAAGACAAGTGGAAGGCGGTGATCTTCTTCTGCTCCGTTGTGATGGAGCAAAAGGAGGAAGCGGAGAGGGAGAGAGAACGAGCACCTCTCCCTCAAGGGAGACCTCGGGAGTGTGTGCGAGCGGGCGACAGGGCGCCCGCTGCCCGCGCCAGGCCCCGGGGCCCAAGGCCTTCCCAACAATAGCAATAGCTCCTCTCCTCACTTTAACACGTGGGGAGGGGACTAAGACGGCAGACTCGTGGGGGGGCCGGATCCCCTGTGTAGTACGCCGCCTCAACAATAAGGGAAGAATGCATTATAGTAGGAGCGCAGCGGCCCTTGAGTGGAACCGTTCACCCAGGGAGAGATACTGTCGCGGGAACCGTAACAGGCTGGGGTGGGGACCTGTCCTGCACGCAGTCCCGAGTAGGGACGACGTGGCGGCGTGTGTCCCGTTACGTTGTCGAAGGAGGGCGCAGCCCGAGGGGAGAACATTACAAGATCTCCCCTCAGAGTAGCAAATTAACTCGAGGAAAGGTCCCGGCAGAGTCCTTACCAGGGGTTTCGTATCTTTCTCTCAGACGAGGTAGGTAGGCACACCTTGAAGGTTTTAGTGAGTATGCCTCTCTCATCTCGCGGGACGAGAGAGGGACTTCCACATAACTCTGGCCATCTCCCCCGAGGCCAGGTATCTATAAAGGATTTCTTCCAAGTAAAAAAAAAGGCTAGATTAGGTGTAATAAAACTTGAAAACAAAAAAATTTTTGTCGGTTGGACATATTTAAGCCGCCATTTTGAAAAAACATTTAAAAAGAAGCATTTTTTACAATTATCCAGAAGGGAGATTGCAGGAGAAGAAGCAAAGACCTTCTCCTGCAGGGGAACAAAGCCTCATCTTGCCTACACACTTACAACACAAACATAACTACTTATTTTTTATTGATTTTTAAAATCTTACTACACATCATATAAAATCGATTTTAGTCACTATAGTTTTTATTTTTTTTTAAATTAGTTTTTCATTTTTTGAAGTGTAAAGGACTAAACATTTTGTTAGTCTCATTGAACACTATTTTTGTGCAAAATTTTAAATCAATCGGAAAAAGGAGACATTCTGAAATACACCTAAAATCGATTTTAGTCGATATAGTTTTTATTTTTGTAAACATTTTCTTCATTACCTGAAGTGGGAACTACGCGCGTTTTGTTTGTCTCATCAAACACTATTTTTGTGCAACCTTTCAGATTAATCGGGAGAAAAGAGACAGACAACAGTACGTATACTCTCTTTTCTATATTAACTATAGAAGCGCCGAGTGAGTGAATGAGGTGAGTGAGTGAGTGAGTGAGTGAGTATTGTATTTTGTAGTATTATTTAATTTTGTAAATCAAGTCTTATAAAGAAAGAAGATTTTGTAGTATTAAATCACTTTGTAATTTATTAATTTTTTACTTCGTAAAGTTAAAGTATATAGTTTGTAAAATTATTCTGATATTGAGGTGTTTCCTCGGGTTCCTTTGGTTATGCCAATAATTATAATTGCGATAAGGGCTGTTGGAACCGGTGAGCAGGATGTTATGCCGTAAACAAATGTATTGTATCTTATTCACAAACGTTTCGGTTTTTATTCAAACCATCTTCAGTGTATCAATATAGGTTTTGATTAACAATCCTTCATATTCAAGCGATGTCTGTATGTTAGTCCATGGGTAAAGAAATTGAAAATGTCAATGTAATAAAAATGTGAGGTATTGTCAAAGCATCGTCTTGTACTATATAGTTTGTACTTATTTTGTGCAAAGTTTCAAACCAGTTTATTGGAAAAAGTTATATCGAAGGTGTTGCCGATGCCAAAAAAATCCGTTTTTTAAATTAATTTTCTAACATGCATTTAAAACAAAAGTAGATAG